CTGCAATGAGAAAAAGAAGGGGGGGGGGGTGAGATGCTGCTTGCTCTGTGCTTGCGTGCAATATGTATATATTTATTCTATTATTATTATTGTTATTGTTATTATTATTATTATTATTTATTCTTTATTTTATTTTTTTTTGGGGGGGGGGTGAGATGTTGCTTGCTCTGTGCTGTGTGCAATATATTAAATATATATATATTATATATTATATATATATATATATATATATATATATATATATATTATTATTATTATTATTATTTTTATCTTTTATTTTACTTTTTTTTCTTTATCTTTTTTTTTTTTTTGGGGGGGGCGTGAGATGTTGCTTGCTCTGTGAATATATAATATTATATATAATATATATATATATATATATAATATTATATAAATATATATATAATATATATATATATACATGTATATTATTTATTCATTTTCATTATGTTTTTTTATTACATATATATTTTGGGGTGGTGTGCTTGCGTTATATATATATATATATATATATATAAATATATATATATATATATATATATTATACATATATATATATATATATATATAAATATATATATATAGATATTTTTTTTTTTTTTTTTTTTTTTGGGGGGGGGGGGTAATGTTAGTTTAGGTTAACTTTTAAATTAAATTTTCGGTTAGGTCAGGTTTTAGGTAGGTTTGTAATGACTGGACAAGTGTTTTGCGTTGAAAAGTGTCAAAATACTCAGTCTAAAAAGGAATCGTTGTAGGCAATGAAAAATTACATAAATTATTATCAAAATTATATAATTTTTGAGAAGCCAACCTGCTCGAGTTGGATTTTCTTCCTTTTCCCACCCCTTCTTGGCAAATATTTACACTGCTTACAATTGTCTTTACATCTTCTTGGTAGCACGTGGGATTTTCACTGGTTATATTACTAAAAATATATGAAAATCCGCGTATAAAGATTTAAACATATTTCCTCTCCCACAGTCGCTGTCACACTGCCTCCTTCCCCCCTCCTCCTCCTGGGTGTACCTACTGAACTGCAGTTATCGTACACCGGTATTATAATACAAAATACGCAAGATAAACGAGACAGAAACGATAATCTATAAGAAATATTAAAGCATTGTATAAAAGTAAGGAAACTGAAAGGGGTTGGAGGTCGTTTTAAATACCCGGGCCTTGTAACGGAAATGTTTCATCGTACGTCTGGCCACGCTTCGGGTTTTGGAATTCGGACAAATTTTTTTTTTTTCCTTCAAATACTTCGATTTTAATTGTTGTTTTTTCTTATTCTCTCTTCTCGGGTTTCTCACGTACGAAGGAAAGAGCGAGAAAACACGCAAATATGTATAAGGCCTCTTTGCTATATTGCTTCACCAGGTCTTCTGCATATTCGTGTGTTTTCTTGTCCTTCGCTTCGTTGTTCTATTAAGAAAATGATCGAAAAAAAATATGTATACATTTCTTTCTGCAAAAATATTCATACTTTCATCCATACTCTTTCATATACACACAAAAGAAAGAAGATAAAGGAGAAAGAAAAGAAGAAAGAAGAAGAAGAAGAAGAAGAAGAAGAAGAAAGAAAGAAAGAAGAAGAAAGACATTAAAAAATATTATCTACGTTTAACGGTTTAATAACGTATTTCCTTAAGAGCGATTTACGAATACAAAGAGATAAAGAAAGAGAGAGAGAGAGAGAGAGAGAGAGAGAGAAGAGAGAGAGAGAGAGAGAGAGAGAGAGTTAGACAGATAGAGAGAGAAAAAAGAAAAAGAGAGACAGAGATAAAGAAAGAAAGAAAGAGAGAGTGAAGAGAAGCAGACAAGCAGAGAGTGAGAGAAAGAAGCAGAAAGAAAGAGAGACAAGCAGAGAGTGAGAGAAAGAAGCAGAAAGAAAAAGAGATGAGAGACAGAGACAAAAAAAAACAAGAAAGAATGAGAGAGAGAGAACAAAGATAAGCAAATAAACAAACAAACAAAGACACCCAGACATATCATCATCATCATCATCATTTCTTTCAACCAACCAACCAAAATGACATATAACAACACCGCCAATCAATGGATTCGATTCCCTCATCTCTTTCCAATCCCTAATCCGGGACTAATCAGGAATCCCCAGAGCGAATCTAATCCTTTTCTGCCGATTAGGAATCCGAGGGGAGGCGAGGGGTCCCGGATGAAAATGAGGGAGAAAGTGCAGAAGAGAAGAGGAAAGTGAGGAAAACGCTTGTCCTATGTTTTTTTTTATTTATTATTTTTTTTTTTTTTTCTTACAGTAATAGAATAACAACTATAGTGTAAATAATAATATATTAATAATAATGATGATAATAAATGAATAGATAATAATAAGATAATAATAATAATAATAACAATAAAAATAATAATAATAATAATGATAATAATAATAATAATAATAATAATAATAATAATAATAATAATAATAATAATAATAATAATAATAATAATAATAATAACAAAAATAACAATATTAATAATGATATAATAATGGTAATAATAACAATAATCATATTCCTGATAATAATAAAATAAATACAAAATGATAATTATAATAAAGATAATGATGCTGACGTTAATAATAATAACAATGATGATAGTAATAAAACAATAATCATAATAATAAAACACATAAATATTTATAAGAATCAAACACAGTCTTTCGCAATGGAAGAAGTTACATAATACAAATAATAACTATCATTCCAGCAGGTAAATAGGAGTCATTTGTTACCTGTAATTGTTGTCATTATTAATTCAATTCCTTAAAAAAAATAATAATAATAAATGTTTCTTTGTTACGTCTCTGTTGCCATAATTACTAAAAATTATTATTTTCGTTTTTTTGTTTATTTGTTATTGTTTGTGTGTTAGTTGTATATACTTTAAATAACGTTAGTAAGGTACAAGTAAAATTTTATGAAAACTAATATGAAATTAAGTGAAGATTGCGAAATATTTAAGGTAATTTCAGGTGTATTTTGCTTCGGACGCGAGAGAAAAGGAATGAGGTTTATAATTTGAGGGTAATTATGTAAATGTGTGTGTGTATTGTTGTTTAATATATGATATATACATGTATGCATGTGTGTATTAATTTGTTGTTGTATGTGGTGTGTGGGTGTGGTGTGTGTGTGTGTGTGTGTGTGTGTGTGTGTGTGTGTGTGTGTGTGTGTGTGTGTGTGTGTGTATTGTTGTTTAATATATGATATATACATGTATGCATGTATGTATATAATTATGTGTGTATGTGTGTGTGTGTGTGTGTGCGTGCGTGTGTGTGTGTGTGTGTGTGTGTGTGTGTGTGTGTGTGTGTGTGTGTTTGTGTTAATATATTGATATATACATGTATCATGTATATATACTTATGGGTTGTGGTGTGTGTGTGTGTGTGTGTTGTGGTGTGTGTGTGTGTGTGTGTGTGTGTGTGTGTGTGTGTGTGTGTGTGTGTGTGTGTGTGTGCGTGCCCGTATATGCGTGTGCGTGTGTGTGCGTGTTTGTATCGTTGCTTAATATATATAACATACCTGTTTATGTACATACATATACAATATAAATGTTGTGTATGTGTGTGTGTGTGTGTGTGTGTGGTGTCGTGTGTGTGTATTGTGCGCGTTATGTGCACATATCACCACAATGTTTTATACAAAACAGCTGTAAAAGTACGACCCTCATTTCTTTTCTATCCCGGCGCCCGAGTGGCTCGAGTGAAATTATGGTAAACAAAACCACTTTTGAAGAAATTACGTTTTTTTTTTTTTTTTTTTTTTTTTTTTTTTTTTAAACGCTGCTCATGTTGGCTGAAACAAAAGATCAGTTTGTGCATAATGGTTGTTTGTGTGAAAGGGGGAAAGGAGATGAGATAGGAGAGGAGAGAAGAGAGAGAGGGAAGAAAGAAGGAAGAGGGAAGAGAGGAAAGAGGAAAGGAGGGAGGAGGAAGGAGAGGAGAGGGGTGGGGAGGGAGGAGAGGAGAGAGGGAAAAAAGAAAGAGAGAGAAGAAGGAGAGAGCGCGGGGAGGGAGAGAAAGAGAATCGAGGAGGGAGAAAAGGGAAGAGAGGGAAGGGAGAGAGAGATCGAGATCGAGGGGGAGGAAAGGAGGAAGGATGGAGATAGAGAGGGGGAAGGAGGAGAGGATGAGGAAAGAGAGGGCGAGATAGGGAGGAGGTAAGAGAGAGAGGGGGAAGGGAGGGAGGGAGGGAAGGGAGGGAGAAGGGGAATGGAAGAAGAAGAGAGAAGAGAGAGAGATAGATAGATAGATAGGGAAGAGGAGAAAAAAAAAGGAGAAAGAGAGAGAAAGAAAGAGAAGAGAGAGAAGGAGAGAAGAGAGAAGGAAGAGAGAGAGAGAGAGAGAGAGAGAGAGATCGAAGAAGAGAGAAGAGAAGAGGAGAAGAGAGAGAGAGGGGTAGAAGGTAGGATGAGGGAAGGAAGAAAGAGAAAGCCATATATACCAATAAAAAGAGAGACAGAGAGATAGAATCCCAGCTCGATTGAAAAAGAGAAAAGGAGAAAGAGAGAGAAAGAAACTGAAACAGAGAAAGAAGAAGAAGAGAGAAAAAGAACGTAACATAGTATAAAGAGAGAGAAAAAAATAAACAAAGAAGAAAGAAAGAGAGAGAGAAGGAACCTGAAAAGATAAAAGAAGAAAGAGAGATAAGGAGAAAGATACATAAGAAAGAGACAAGGAAAAACTAAAAATAGAGGAAGAAGAACAGGATAGAGAAAGATACATATACAGAGAAAGGGGAAAGAGAAAGAAAAAGAAAGATAAAAAAAAAAGAAAATGAAAAATACAGAAATAAAAAAAGGAGAAAGATAGAAAAAAATAAACAGAAACAGAAGAAATGGAGAGAGAAAAAAAAATAAAACGAAAAATACAGAAACAGAGCAAGAAGAAAGAAAGAAAGCGAAAGAGAAAGTGAAATGGAGATAAAGAGACACACAGAAACACAGGAAGGAAAAGAGATAGAACAGAAAGAGGTTAAGGT